GTGACGACGGGAGAGGGTCGCCAACCCCTTGACCGTTGGGCGAAGGGCTGACCAACCCAGTCGCCCTGTCGCCGAGCTGCAAGCTCTTTCTCGTTCGGTGTCGTTGACCAGCTGACCCTCGTCCGCGTCATATTTCGCTGACAAAACGCAGCGACGAGTTGTCCAAGTGGTGAAGAACAGCTGCAGAGCCTTCTCAAGGGTTTCAGTGGTTCAGGGCTGTTGTTTTGAGGCTGGTCTTGACAAGCCCTTGACCAGCTGTAATCGTTCTTGGCGATCAGCATATGCCTTTGTTTCAGTCTGCCTTCAGTTGCTCCCACTCTCACAAGAATCGTGAGTCGGACTGGTCCTGGGTATCATCAGCGTGACAGGAGCACCAGAAAGTCGTTTCCTTGAACACAACTGTGTACATCGTCGCCTGGCTGATCAAACACGACCACACAGTTTGCAATACGGGAGTTGTAAGTCCGATTCTGGGACTCGTCTGGTCTACGGTGTTCTATTGCAAATATCCCAGTTGGTTATCATCATCCGTGTCAGTCAGGCTATCGCCTGCAGTTGAGCCAATCTGTGAGAGGAGCGAAGCTTGAGAAGAACCGTTTTACAGCCCAATTTGCATCATGTCAAACTGGGCACCCGTTCAGTAAGGTATCTCCAGTTTTACGTATGCGGTAATTTATCGGTGGTACCATTACGTGAAATTATCTCCATAATTCGCAACATGTCCAAGCCAAATGAGCTACCAACAAAACACCATCCTCAATAACGTCCTGGTAAAGAACAACGGCGGACAATGATGGGTCATCATGACACAGTTTGAGCGTATTGTTACCGTATTTCGCCACAACTGAAAAATGCGATGGTGTGACCTGTTCTGAAAGACGTGCAATATCACGCAATTCCAATTTCCAACTTCTTGCCATGGCTCAAGTATGAACGAACATATTGTATTTACAACCAATGCGTGCAAATGCAAATACACTCCATTGCATATATGTGAAGTGCACCATGCACCTAATATGCACTGCACTAATATACTGTACTAATCACATACTGCACTAATGTACTAATTACATATACTAACTACTATCAGTAATATATGTTGCTATACCCATATACTAATTACACTAATGTACTGTACTAATGTACTGTACTAATGCACTGTACTAATGTACTGTATAATGTACTAATGTAATAATATATGCACTGTACTAATATGCACACATAGAGTACATGGCTTCTCTGCATGTGTTACCTCGTTGGCGTTCATGTTGCTCTGGGTGCCGCTGCCTGTCTGCCAGACCACCAGAGGGAAGTGTTCGGTCAGCTTGCCTTCAGCCACCTCTCCAGCCGCCTGTACGATGGCAGCCCCGATCTTGGGATCCAGCCCCCCCTGTTCCATGTTCACTTTTGCTGTGGCGCGCTTCAGCACACCAAAGGCCCGCACTACAGACTCTGGGAGTCGTTCCCTGGGGCCGCCAATTTTGAAGTTTTGGAGGGACCGCTGAGTCTGGGCGCCCCAGTACTTGTCGGCGGGCACCTCCAGAGTGCCCATGGTGTCCTTTTCAGTCCTTGTGCCAGCTGCAGAGAAGCTTCTCAGGGTGCCTGCAAGGATACACCATCGACTTCAGCCAATTCCCAAATTATCTCCTATTTTGTTCAGTGTCCATTCATGCAAGCACAGGACATAATGTACTGGTACTTGAAGCCTTATGTGGGTGGACCAAACTGTGCAATCTCAGAAATGTCTAGGGTGCAATTTCAACATTGGGACCAGAAACCAGGAAACACAAGGTTGGCTAGTGACGGAGCGCCAATAGCCATGTCCGTGACAGGGTGTCCAGCACCCATCCACAGGCGAACCACTTACGATTCAGATTTTTCAAAGTCGTGCATTGTGGCAACTTACCTCTCTGTACGAATGTCGAATTCAGAACATGGACGCAATGTTGCAAAGTGCAAAATGAAACAAACAGCACACAAGCACAGGTGGGCAAAATGTGGACTACAGGTGCCAAACACCTTGAAGTAGCACCAGGGCCAAGATGTCAAACTCAGCATCAAGCTGGTGCCAGCCAGAGCTAGGATATTGAGAAATTTCATAACTGCCAGAAATTCGACATAAGGTAAGAAGTCGCCCAGAAAGCCCCTAATTTGTTCAGATGCTTCCTTCAGCATTCGATCTCCAAGGAGGCAGTCAATATGTCTTAATCAACACCATTCATGGCTCTTCAAAATATGTATGTGAGGAAGGCAGTTGCCTCTTTGTGCACCTCCTGACTCCTTGTCTCACAATGTGCATCTGCGCAGCCTGCACATGGACTGACACATGCAACATGCGCAGCATTTGAAAAATTAACACACTGTGGTGCCTGAGGAAATCCCGTCTTTACATACACAATGAACTCAGAGAACATGCCCAATGGCACTAAAGTTGATGAGTAAACCTGCTCATAACCCCGACTGTGTTCAAATTACTCTCACTAACTGAAACGATTTGGTACAAGAACTGAATGTGAACTCCATTCAGCTCCTGAAATGCTTTCTGTACACAAGCTGCCCATTGACCCACCAGGATTTATAAGTCATACTTGATCATCACCTTGATGAGCTGCACATCCTTCTTCACATAGAGAGCAATGCAGGCTGAGCTTCTGCTACTCCATCCAACAGCAGAATGGCTGATAATAACCACTATGTACGCCAGTCTTGTGAGGGGTTACTTTTCGTATTTTTTTAAATTCTTCATCATATTCAAAAGAGACCAGGTGACATCCCTGCCCGACAGAAGGGATGCGTTCCTTGCCCCACCTCACAACAAAGTGCAAAGCATTTGGCGCCCTAAAGATTGCTGGCAAGCATATATCTTCTGTGTGGCTCTGTTTTCGCTTGTCTTTTCAAAGGTAGAACTGCGCCGTGTGCTGAAATCTGGGCCCAATCCACTAAACAGACCTCAGATGTGCAAATGGATCAGCAGTAGCGTTCCACCGTGGGGTGAATCCCCTTGCAACAATTGCCCCACCCTGCCCCGGGGGACCAAATCCAACGTTAGAAGTTCGGCGACGCTGTGCCACAGTATCGTCAGATGCAGGGCTTGCCTGCTCGCGCAATCCAGCATCGGTGCGATTTCGCGACGATAAACCACGCCAACATAAGCCCCAAGCCACCTTCCGCGTATCTGATACCGACCGATACCTTCGCGGCCTTCTGCCCCCGTCGCCTATCCACGGGTACCCGCTATCCATGGGCCCAGGCCGCCTCATTGCGCGACACGCATCCCGGCTGACGCTGCCACTGCGCGGCGCGTGCCCCCCTTCCCCTTTCGCCCGCCTTTTCCAATCCACTCCCGCGATCGGCAATCCAGTCACACCCAGGTCACCCATGCCCCCAGCGATCTGCGCGCCCGCTCGATCGCTCCGCTCACCCCACACCGACGCGCGGACCTCCCCCAGGGCATTGCCTCGCAGGTACGCCGTGCAGATCCTTCGAAGGCCGCCCATTTTGCCCGCCAGTCAGCTGTTCGGGCAGATGGGCGGACGGGGGCTCCGGCGAGTCCTTGGCGGTGGCGTCGCGGCCCCGGGAGGCTCACGGTGATCGGATCGCACTCAAGATGTGTGCCCAAGCTTTGTGCCTTCGAAGTTGAGGTCGGCCTTGGCGGTAGTGACGGGTGCGGACGGCGCCCTTACGAGGCTGTGTCTGCGTGCTGGACGCAACGGCAGTCTGTGCGCATCCCAGTTTGCGTTTGGGTTGCCCTCTGCGTTTTTTCATCAGGAAGATTTGTAGAAAAAGTGAGGCATTGCGGCCAGTGCAACTCAGACACCACTGGCCCTGCCGGTGAGCAATCGACTGGGGTACTTGTTTCCGCTGTACTTGGAGCACGACGACGATTGAACATCAGTATTGCCATAGACGCGGCTCTACAGCAGGCGATGCCCGTCTTCGGCGACGATAGTGAAAGGATAAAGAAGGGATTGTCGGCAGGTTGTGTGCCTATGTATGGTTTCGGTCGGTGCGCAGCGTGCTGAAAAGTTGTCAGTGGAAGCCATTCCGATGATGTGATACACTGCATACAGCATGCTTTGCTGGCCACATTCAATGGAGTAATGAGGTATCGACAAGCATGACCTGCGGCAATGAGGCATCGACATGTACAGGCACAAATGGGGAGGCAGCATCCTTGTAAGAGCCTGGCACGACATTCCATATACCACACGTCGTACGCATTCATTAATGCAAGTGCACGCCTTTTGCAACGAGCCAATCCACTATCTACCTGACCACTGGAAACCAACGTCACCAAGCACAGCCTCTCTTCCATCCTTGCCCTACCCCTTTTCATGATACTGTCGCCCAAATTCCCAACACCGCATATCCAACCTCTGCAGCTCAATTCAACAAAGCCCGCCTTCTGTTGTCACAATGTCGACCTTGCCATGGCATTCCCGTGGTCCAAAAGCCCCAAGACCGGTCGTGACTCAAGAATGCCAAACGGGACAAGAGCCATTCCGAACTGCGCCCTGCACTGGCGCTGGCACACTCTCTGTTTGCAGACCATCCTTCTGAACACCCATCAACGCTGCACACCCTCCCCAGAACACTCTGGTACTCACTAGCGGTACTCACTAGTGACCGCAATCCACAAAGCACTACACTCGAAACATTAGGATTTGGCGCATGCTCGCCGTGTGTCACCGCAGGTGCAGTCTCAACCCCGGCAAAGATATGCTGCCCACGTGCACAGCTTGACTCATCCAAAATCTATCAAGCCATGACTGTAATATCTATATGGAAAGTTTTGCCTTCCATGAGAAGTCGATCACCGGCTTGGATATGTTCCCTAAAGTCGTGAACGTTGTGAACCATTCCATGCCGTGCTAAATTGCCTAAAATGGTGCTGAATAATACTAAGTAACGCCAAGTACTCCACAGCGGTGGCACCGGCCAATTCCTTTGCCCGCCATACAAGCAGGCCCTCCTTGCTCCCTTACTTGTACTCCCCTCGACTAAGAGGAGCGTCGGTCGACCTTGACCACTGTGGCCGAGCCGATGCGGTGCAGCGGATCGGGCATGAAGGGTCTCTCGCAATAAGCGTTGCTGCCACAGTCCGAACTGGAAGGGCATTTTTGCATCACGTGGCGCAGCCCAAGCCCCATGAGGGATTTGATCATGATGCGGACCTTGGTGAAGCCAATGGTGTGGGTTGGCCGCCCTGCATCAACAAGAACGTTGGATGTCAGCGCGGCATTAAATACCTAAATACGCATTTGCTGCTGCTGCAGCGCACTCGCTCGAGCCGAAACCTTCTATTTTCCGTTAAGGCACGGATTCAGTGCTTCGTGGATGTATAAAAATCAATTGCAATTTCGCCAATACCATATCGAAATTCACATGGCAATGCACCAAATCTCTGCGCTTGCAGCTGTCAAGTGACCCCAGTTTTCAAGGAATCGGCAGCACTATTGGCTGGCACCTCCCCCAGGCAGGATTTTTATGGAAGAGGAGAGGGCATTGGAAGCTGGCGCCTTGGCAATTCAACACTCTCTTCCAGGACGCGAGATTTGATGTACAAGAACCCAAATGCACGGGGGAAGTCGCAGGAATTACCACAAATTAGAAGAGGGTCCAAAACAACACAGCACACCAGCGCCAACTGGCGACCGCTGCCATGAAATCGGCTGGACAGCAACAAGCGGAACGTCTCTGCTTAACAACCGTGGCTTGTGGATCATGACAAAAAAGAGAAAATAACGCGAAATTTCACAAAAATTGAGACAAATTTGGCAAATTGTCGACTTTCTCCGCAAACTCTTTCCATATTCCCCAAGCTGTGCTGGGATTGGCAGTATCGAAATTGAGCCATGTTGTCGAGGCCATATATGACGGCTAGCTGAAGTCAGCCATCACCCCCATAAGTATTTGGCTAATCCTGAACCCGTGGTATGGATGACTAACTTTGATTCGGTTATCGACAGGCAGATCGACAATTGTGAGGGTGGGCATTCGCAACCACTGCAGTTAGCACGGACCTGACCAAACTGGGAGCTGAACTCAAGTTTGGGTCAGCTTCGCTTTGCAGAAGTGTGCGCAAGCCTCCAAGGAAGAACCTTTGATCACATTCACCCAATCGGATAAAACAAGCAGCGACCTGCAAGCTGCTGACTCGAATGCTCAAAAGCTTTGCCCTCAAGCTGAGCACAGCCGTTTCCAACCTGCGCCCCCTAATATTGTTGGGCGACAAGGTACTCAAGGCATTGGGATACTTAGTATACTTATTGTTAACGGTACTTAACGGTAGTTCAAGAATTTCAACGGCACTTAAAGGGTTGACTACAGACTTTTCCACTGTCCCCGTTTTGCTCTTTTGCGGCAACAGCTGACCAGTGAGGTCAGTCATTTGACAAATGGACATAGTGATTGGAATTAGGTTTATCTTTCTGGATCAGGGCAACTTTTCTTGGCCCGATTTTCGAGGGTAGTTCGTCTGGCGTGTACTCACCATTAAGAGAGGATTTTGTTCACATTGACAGGGTTATGATCGGTGCTGGAAGTCAGACAGGGCAACAAACATGGGATATACTGGGACATTTTGATACTTTGTAGGACACTTGGTACATTTGGGACATCGCCTGACTAACCGTTTCTCTCATTCATGACATTTTCTCTCTTGATGCTTAGGAATCCCCCACTGGACATCGAACGTTCATCAGACATTGATCTTTTTCTTCTCCCTTACTGTTTGGGACCTTACATCGGTTCTTGCGGGAAAAGCGCCCTGTTGTGCTTCACGATTCGCGGGGAAGCTCCTCTGTTCGTACCGTAGATCAATCCATTAGGAATCAAAAAAAATCCCCACACCCGCAAGTACTTTGGCGCCTGGGACCCTTCTGGAGCAAAGGAACGGACGCACAATCACGTCACACATCGGCCGCTGTCCGCCCCACCCCACCACTCCCGCCCGGCGCCGCTCGCGCACCTCCGGCCTCCCGTGCGCCATGCCACGCCCGGTCCCACGTCTCGCTCACCGCCTCGTAGTCCGACAGACTGAGCGCCCTGCGCACGGCCCGCGCCCCCGAAACCGCCTCGTTGGCCTCTCCCGCATCCCACCCACTGGCCCCGGCCTCCTTCACCGGCGTCCACGCCTCCGACGCCGAGTCGCACGCCGCCACGCCGTCCCTGCAGGGATGCGATGGATCCGCCGGCCGGTGCCTGGGCGCGTCCCAGCACGCATGCGGCCCTCTGGGCGGGCTGGACGATCCGCGCGAGGCCATGGACATCGCGCTGGATGGGCGCCTAGAGACTGGGACGCCGCCCGCGCTCCACGCCACCGAGCTCCTGCCGCCGATCCCTGTGTCCCCGACGCTGGAAATTGCGATGCTGGAATTGATGGACTGCAGGGGTCCCGGGAAGTCATCTCGCGGTGAGCCGCCCCCGGAGTGCTGCTCGGCTGCCCTGCTTCCCGCCTCGGCCAGCCGCCGGCCGTCGGCCCCGGCGGGCCCCATCGGCGACGATCGCCAGAAGAGCAGCCGGTCCGACAGGTTGTGCAGAAAGCTACCCTCTGACCCCGAGGGGCGACCAGGCGCGGCAGCGACGGGCGCCCGAGATTCCCGCCGGGCCGCCATGCCCCAATTGGCATCCCAGAGATCCTCGAGCGAGGGGGCGCAATCGCCATCGGCGATGCCGCCCAGGCTGTGCCACACGCGCGATGTGGGGCGTTGCTGCGGCGACCTTGACGCCTCCATCGACCTGAATCCCGGCAGCTCCAGAAGGGTGGGCTTGCCGTCGGCGACCGCCTTTGGAAACTCGAGCTGCCCTGGTGTTAGGGACTCGAACGGGGAGGGCACCTTGCCCGCCATGCCGGCTGCAGCCCCGGGCGCCGAGCGGCGCGCGAGGCCTCTCCCGGCGCTTCACCCCACCTCCCCGCCGCGCGAACCGCCTCCGCGCTTGCCTCCCTCCGCCGCTTCCTCACGTTCCGAAGGAGTGATCCTTAACCCAGACCGAGCAGGGCTGCGGCATCCTTAGTCGATTGCCACCCATCAGATCGCATCTTTAGTAGTGAAGTCTCGACGCACCCCGCCCCCGACCGCCGGGATGCAGTTGCCGCGTTGGCGTTTCGTGGAGCCTGCTTGGCACACAATCCCGAAATGAACCCTTGAACCGCGCGGAAGTGTGGGCCCAAGGGGGGGCACACCAGCTCGGGCCATCCTTCGGCTGTGGTGGCCGCTGGCGTTCCAAAACATGGATAGGGGCGCAGTTTCCCGCGGGTTGGTCTTTGAGCCGCAGTCGCGGCGCAAGAGGCCTGGCAGTGGCACGGCGTCGTTGGCCTCAAGGCGGCTGGGGCTGCGGCAGGGTCGCAGCGTGGGCGACGCCGGCGCTGCGATGGATAGATGGAAGCGTTCGCGCCAGGAATGAAACAGGAAGTTAGCCTTATCGGGATGTCGCGCGATGCTGTGTGTACCTCAGGGGCGCAACTGGCGCCCATGGGGCGCACAGATTGCTCCTTGATTTGACTGCGAGGATGGCGCGTCTCTGTGGGCGTGGGCATGGGTGTGCGACCCGCCACGTCTTGGTCACCACACAGAGAGGCTTACGGCGTGGGCTAGCTTGGGACCTGTGCGGCGAGGAAGCCCGGGCGCTTGTGTTGTCGGAGTTTAATCTGCACTGCGAGCCGGTAGCGGCCAGTAGCTGGGGCGGCTGGCAAGTTGGGCAGATGGTCGGGGTTGGATAGAGATGGAATGACGTGGGGCGGCAGGCAGAACGATCGGGGCCAGAGCCGGGCAGGGATGGCGTGGTCGGTTCCCACGGATCTGTGCTTGAGGGCGAGCGACCGCAGGCGGGTCTGGAAGTTGTCAATGGTGGGTAACGATTGTCTTCGAAACAGAAGGGTTGAGTAGGCGCAAATGGGCGACTCCCCTTGCAGCAGTCACCAAAATCCACGGATTACATTTGTCGCAAAACGACAGAACACAGCCCGTGCACCTGGTAGGCGATGATGGGAGCCCTTGCAGCAAAGAATTGTAGGAAAATCTTGGCCGCACAAAGTCAGATGCATGAATGTTGTGGAACTCTTGGCCATACTGCGCAATGGGGGACATTGAGCATGAACGTTGGGTTTGGGATTCGGGGCTAGTGCTTAGGACTCCTGCTTAGGGCTACGAATGCTTCTGGTGAGCTTAGGTTGTCGGGCAAATAGGCGACTCCCCTTGCAGCAAATAATTGTAGGAAAATCTTAGCCGCACAAAATTAGTTGATGCATGAATTTTGTGAAACTCTTGGCTATACTCCGTAATGGGGGCCATTGATCCAGGGCAGGCGAGAAGCACAGCTGGGGATTCCCCGACTTCTGAAATCGACGCGGGTGGCTCATTGCACAGCATCTTGTGCGATATTCCTTCCAAGTTTATCAATCCCCCTTTTCAGGAAATCTCAACCATCAAAAAAGCAGCATGGGATCACGATGGATTCAACCCTGTGACCATCCGCACTGCGAGCCAGCCCAAGTGGTAAAAAAAATCAAATAATCCCTACCACTCCTCTTCCCAAGTCCATTGACTGTTAGCCACGCACTGGAGGTACAGCTTCCCATGCCGCTCCCTCGTCCACCGCTTGCCTATTCAGTCTCCCATACACAGTGTGTATTACACGGCTGCTGTATACGCTTCGCTGGCAGGCTGCCAGCCACAAACTTTTGGAAATAAGTGGTACAGGCCAATGCTAAAATAAATGAGTCAGATACAGTTTCCTCCCGAAATAAGGCACTCAGCTGAGCTGAGCTGTGCTGCAGCATCAACGCCCACGCGCCTGTCCACGCCATCCTTGCCGCCCTACAAAAATGCCCCCGTTCCATTCCCACCCTGTCCTCATTCCATCCACCCCACAATCCCAGTGGCGTCGCCCATTCGCGTCACCCCCTTCCCTCCAGTGCAGGCTTTGCAAAACAAGGAATCTTTGCAGAAATCCGCTACAGGGCGATACAGCCCCACACCCATGCCCGTATTTCCAACGGCGGCGCTGCAAGAGCCCCACACTGCGCTCCCGTCATTCGCCTTGATTTGACGCTCGATCAGTACCATCGGATGTCAGTCAATCAAGTAGGTGCAATTCGGATCTGTTCAGATTCTCCAGTCGCTAAAGATCCTGCGCCAGCTTTCTGTGAAGCAACAAGGCCGATCGCAGTGTTGAACTTCACCCCGCTGCGTTGCACTCAGGATTGGCTGACGATGCGGAGGCCGTCCTGGAGCGCCCGCGTGTAGTCATTGATGGCGTTCACGATCTCCTCGTCCTCCTGGATTCGCGCTTCCGTCTCTATTTTCAGTTTCTCCTTCAGCTGCGTGACCTCTTCTAAAACCACAGCTTGGAACTTGCTTTCGCTGTTGTTGCGGCTGCCTGCTCAGCCACAGATGCCGATGTAACACAGCCAGATTCCCTTCGCTCTTTCAGCATTGCATATTGCAACTTAGTAGACGGCCTGGCATTGAAACCTCTCACTGGCAGTTGCTCAATGCACTGTTCATTATTAATACTGCATACGGGAACAATCAGTCATGAAATGACCTCGTAGTTCATATGCACACAATCCGTGAGGACATATGCTAATTATCAGCACAGAGTTGTGGATTGCTCGAAGGGGATAATGAAATTAAAACGAACAGATACGAGCAGTGAAGACAGGAATGGAAAGATGTCGTTTCTTAACGCAAACAGAAGAGATCCTTTTCCCAGATCTGGAAGCAACTGCTCCGGAATAGTTGCGCTGGAAGCAATTCTGCAATTCAGCTAGCATCAAGCAACCACCTACAGACGAGCACAGCGGATGCCGAAATATGCGCGTCACCATGCACTGCCAGTACTTTGCCACTGCCAGTACTTTCTGGGCTCAACTGCATCCGGCTGGCATGAATTCCGATGAAACGATCGAATATCGGCGCCGCTTCATTTCGATGGTTGGACGACTTGCTTGCGTAGGGGTGAGTACAAAGTTTTCTGCCATTGAAGCTCGATGCTATCTGATCAACACTATAGCCAATTTGGGCGCCGTCATGCGCAACTGCGGCATGAAGAATTGTAGACTGTCCGTGCTATGAATATCAAATTGATCGCACATGTTCCAGAGCCTGCACACAGTGTTCGAGCGCGTAGTCCAGAACAGCAACTCGTGATTTTCATCCAACACAACTCCTACCCCATGAAGAATTGTTGGCATATCCGCACAAGAAAAACTCGTACAGCATTGCGATATTTCAATGGCATGGCTGCGGCAAGCCTTTTCCATTTTGATTTTGGGCGCTGCTGTGGATAAACACTAGATTCAACATGACAATGCAACAGTAAACTGAAAAACACAAATCAGCATATATTACAAGTTTAACACGCCAAATTACCAGCCCACAATCAGCGGTGTGCTAGCTGGAATTGCCCACAACACGCAAAAAAAACCATTGTTGCTAGCGCTTTCAGTATGCACAGGTGCCCAAACCTCGATCAGCTTTTCACGCCCTTGGTATCGATAATGATTTGGCTGAGTAAACCGCCAAGAAATGTTTCCCTTCGGAGTGGATCCCAAATCCAAACCACACAAATTCTGAAGCATTGTGCTGTGATAAATGGCACAATTCAATTCACCTTGGCCGGACATTCTGTAGAGATTATGGGCACAATTCATTTCCCCATTCCATACTTCTTCCTCAGCGCTTCCAAAATATTTTGTAGGCCGCTGACTTGTTGTATGTATAACGCATACAGAGTGGAAATCAGACGATCTGTATGTTGTGACCGATTTATGTTGCCATTCTGCTCTTGTAACTCACCGCCTCGAGCAAATACGTCACCCAGAGCAAGATATATACGCATTACCATCAGCTAGCTACTATGGTGAATGGCATTTATGACGTGATTGTAGTCGGCGTATTTCAGACTCACCTGCCACTTCCTGCAGCTCATTCCTTAATTTCCCAATTTCGGATTCCCTGTCACAGCCATTCATGTGAGGTTCATTCAATCGGCAGAAAAATGGGCATGTCTGCAGCGAAGCGCAATTATCCAGCCACGGTAACCGCGAGGCGCTATGAAGGCGGTGCCTACTTTACCACAAAGTATCGGTATGTGCCGCACGCACATACAGTGATTTACAACCAAATCATCGAATGATGTGACACCACTTCGCTGTGGAGGATTAAACTGTGAAGCCTTCCGCATTGGGAAGCGTTATGAGAACATTATTTACGTATAAACCGAAAAAAATCAAAGCTGTGGCAGATAAGTGCCGAGACCAAACCTTTGAAAACCAAGGGGTGTTGTTTGATATTTTGAATATTGTGAAATACTCATTTTTGGGTGCGCAAAAATTTTGGTACGAATAGATGAGCAATCCCGTTGGTCTACGCACTTGCATCCGCATCCCATCCAAGACACGCTCATAGAGTGGTGGGCGCAGATGAGCTAATATTTTCAATGGAGGGACAGGGAAAAATTTTGCTGCGCGCTAGCGCTTGGTCTGAGGGCCAAGGGATCAAGCCCAGCAGCAATATATATTCTGATTTGTATCAGACATATTCTAAGGGTGGCTGGGCGCATCCAAGGTCTGCGCTTTCAACTCGATAAATGGAGGGGCATCAGTTGCTCTACAAGACATCCGATAAGGCAGTCCCAGCTGAAAGGAAGAATAGTTATGGGAGACGCTGGTTGTGCAGCATGCTGAGGACTAGGCTTCTTCAAAACGACGATAGAACTATGAAATTGGATCCGTTACATAGATTACGCAATTCTCAATCTGGAGACACATCTGCGGTTCATTTGTGCACGGAACTGCGTAGAATCTGTGGATCCTGCCCTGCGCACATTTAGGCACACATGCTGC